GAGAGAGAGAGAGAGAGAGAGAGAGAGAGAGAGAGAGAGAGAAGAGTTAGAGACAAGAGTGGGTAAGAATGATAGAGACAGACAGCCAGTTACACAGATATATAGATTATATATGTTACTTATGATAGAGACATAATGATAAAGAGAATGACATAAAGTGAGTGACAGAGAGAGACAGATTCAGACTCAAATATGCAGACATATAGCTAGAACATAAGTTCCCTGTGATAGCCAAAGCTGCTGGAAGCAATTAGCTAATAATTAACAATGGCCATGTGCTTTGACAGTAATGTTCACCAACCTTTTCCAGCTCTGATTCCATGTAGATATAGGTACAGGTCAAAAGCAAACATCTTGACCCCATTCTTGTCTCCCTTTATTCCTAAGATATGATTGTGCAGCCCTTATATGAAGACCTAGACCGAAAGAAATCAGAATGTGAGGCCTGAGAAGACTTTCCCAAGGTTGGCTATATGAGGTAAGATCCTGCCACCATACAAGATGCTGTGGTCCTTCTACAAACCTGAGGGTATGTAAACTCTGAATGATCATGCAGAATCATAGGAGTCCATCAATGTTCAGTTATGATCTTTATTACTGTCTTCATTGATCAGGATGACTGCTTCCTGCCAACCATCATGAAACTAGGTAGAGAGAAAAGTAGAAACATTAATCATTATTATTTCTGACAAGTGGCTGACTTCTCTTTAATTGGAGTAAACACTGAAAATGTTTTAGTGAACCCCTGACCCTCTAGTCACTGTCATCACTATTTCTTCTCCTTTCATGATGGCTTTGATTCTCATGTAGGCTTCTGGTATTTACAAATCTTTATTCAGGTAATACTTTTTCACTGAGCTGTTCTGTTGGTATTGAATAGTGTTTGTTCTTAATTTTTGCTCTGCTGTTTGTACTTGTCCTTACCTACTCCGGCAGTACTCTTAAATGGTGGTAGCACCTTGTTGGTTGAAAGTGCTAGGCTTGAAATCACAAATCTGCTCCATATGTAACTATTCACTGGGTGTCACTCAGGTGTGGCCTTCAGCAAGACCACTTAACTTGGTTTTCATCAGCAACGGAAATGAGGCTGTAATATGTTTGCAGACTTTCTTCGTAGGATGTGCAAAGGATAATCTGGAGTTTTGCATTTATTTTCATTATGGTTGTTATAAGTCTCCTAATCCCTGGCTCCATTAATATGTGACCTTTTTTTTTTTTTTTTTTTTTTTTACTGGGGATTGAATCTAGTGCCTTCGCACTGAGCTAGGTCACTGACCTCCTTTTATTTTTATTTTTGCAACAGGGTCTCACTACCTTGCCTAGGCTGAGCTCAAACTTGTGATCCTCCAGTGTCAGCCTCCCAGAGTTCTGGGGTTACAGGCGTGCACCCACGTGACCTTGTTTTAATATATTGTGTTTTCCTCTGGGGAAAACCATTAATGAAGGGATAGTAGTACTCCTCAAGCTATAGATCAAATTATGCCTTTCTTCTTTAAAAAGTAAGACGCTACAAATGCAATCCAAAAAGCACACTGAATTTAAATCAATTTTTAGCTCCAAAATCTTTCTTGATTTAATTAGAAGGAATTGGAAAATAAAGTATCATGCTTTGTTTTCATGTCTTTTCCCCAAACATTCTATTTAGAAAAGAAAAGTGGTTTTAGATTATTTCAAGTGTTTTATTCAGGTACTATTCCTGGGATCATTAGTGGTAAAAGAATTCAGAAATCCCAAAAGGGAGCATTTTTCAGACCCAGAGGATCTTTTACATATCTGATAAAGTTAATTCTTTACAGATCTGACTTCTCTCAGACTATTGGTTCCTCCAAGGAAAAACATCAGTCTGTATTTATCTTTGAATCATTTCATAACAGGAAATTGGTAGTGGTTTATTAAATTAATAAATGCATTTACAGGAACATTGCTGGAAGAGAATATAGTCCTTTAAACCTTGTACCTCTCTTTTAGCTTCTAAACATACAGAAAATATTTCTTAAGCTCCTATAGTGGGCTATAGTTTAAGAGAGAGAAAGCCTGTTCCCCGTTCTGAGAAAGCTTAATAACAGGGGAGAATATGAGATGTATACTCAGGGCACAAACCATGTTTGCCAGCAAGAGAAGGATAACTCACTCTTGCAGGCAGTGTGTGCAGAGGGCCAGGGAACAGTTATTTTAGCTGCATATTGAAGCATGAAATATGAATCTTCTATCAGGAATGGAGACTCAGTAGACAGTTCAGGAAGAGAGACTATCTTAGCCAGAAGATAGGAAACCCAAGACATTATCAGCCATTCCCACTTGGGTGGACTTCTGTGATGTTTCCTTCATGGTGGTTTTGTGTGGTTTTCTACATGTCAGCACAGGGAGAGATGACTAGAAGACCTGAAGCAGTGTTATGCTTACATTGCAAATTACCTTTTTAAAACAAATGTGAGGTACTATGAAAATTATATAGGGTTGTTATGCAAAGCTGAGGAAAAAATTAGGATTTGTGTTAAGATGATAAAATAATCAACCATGATACTTTTAATTGGAGGTAATCATTGTTAGCCTATTATGTTTTCCTTCCTCCAGGCATATTAGGTTATCCAGTTGTTTTCAGGCCACAGATTTAATTTTTGTCTTTTCTTTGTCATTTTCAATGTCACTAAGCTTCTTTAAAAAAAACCCTCATGAAAGAGTGCATAATATTCCATAATACAATTGTTTTAAAGACTTTTTAGGGTTTTATTTAAGTCTAGAATATTTTTCTTTACTTAAAAAACAGAAAAATTATTCAATTATATTTCCTTCTTTCTTATAGCTTCATTATAACATTTAACTTTTTAATGCATCTGGAATTTATTTGTATAAAATGGGATAAGAATTCAATGTATTATTTCCCAAAGAGCTAAAAAATAATCTCAGCACTGTTTATTGAGTTCCTGTACCTTTCCTCTCTGATGTATGATTATATGTTAATATATTGACTGTAATAGCTTCTGTTTCCATCTGTTTTCATCCTGTTTCACATTGATCAGCTTTCTAATTTTTAATATCTGGTGAGGCCATTATTCTTCTTTTTAAATTTTTTATTAGCTATTCTAGATGAACTTTGAAATCGTTTATCAAAATATTTAAAAACACAGGATTTTGATTGGAAACAAATTAAATCCAAAAATGAACTTGAAAAGAAATGACACTCCTTAGTAGTTTGTCTTATCCAGCAACCTGCTTGTGTATTCAAGCTTCTTTTATATCTTTCTGAAGCCTAGTAAATTGTCTCTCTTGCATTATAATCCTCACTTTACCTAGTATCTCACCTTTCTTTAAAAATCTTCTAACACTGGTGTTTAAATTCCTATTAAAAAATGTATAGAAATTTGATACTTTCCCTACTTTTATTTTGTGACATATTTGTTTATGTGGTTATTTCTGGTTCATAGCTCATGCCTATCCTGACTGCAGGAGTTCAGACTATGAATTATTTTGCATCTTATTCTGACAGCCACCGCTCTTTCCACAGTGATCTGGATGTGGAATTATATCTCCTTCCCTGATTTATATATACATAAGCACACACATGTGCAATTACACACCCAAACAGAAATTGATGTGCTCACTAATATACAATCTGCTCTCAAAAGGCATTCATAGAAGGATTCCTTTATTCTTCCACATCCTCACCAGCATTAACTATTTTTTATATTCTTGATGATAGCCATTTTGACTGGGATAAGATGGAATCTCATTGTAGTTTTGGCTTACATTTCCCTAATAACTAAAAATGCTGAATATTTTTTTTCATGTACTTACTGGACATTTGTACTTTTGAGAAGTGTCTCTTCAGTTCTTTTGTCCATTTATTGATTGGGCACTTTGATTTTTTGGCATTAAGTTTTTATGTTCTTTATATATTCTAGATATTAATCTTCTTGTGGAGGACTAGCTGGCAAAGATTTTCTCCTATTCTATAAGTTGTCTCTTCACTTTGTTGTTTCCTTTGCTCTGCAGAAACTTTTTAATATGATACAGTTTCAATTTTTGACTCTTGATATTATTTCCTGTGCTATTAGAATTGTATTTAAGAATTCTTTGCCTGTGCCTATTATTTCAACTGTTTCCCCTATATTTTCTTTCAGTAAATTTAAGGTTTTAGGTCTTAAGTCCAAATTCCTGGTAGGAATATAAATTCATACAGCCACTGTGGAAAGCAATATGGACATTCTTCAAAACCTAAAACTAGAACTACAGTTTGGTCCAGTTATATCACTTCTTGGTATACACAATGGAGTATTATTAAGCCATAAAGAAAAGAAATTGTCATTTGGAGAAAAATGGATGGATCTGAAGACCATCATGTGGAGTGAAATAAACAAGATTCCAAAAGACATATAAAAATATCACATCTTCTCCCTAATAGATGGAATCTAAAAAGATGACAGGAAAATTGAAGGGAGACCATTATAGATAAGAGGAAGGATAGAAAGGGGAGGGGGCATAAGAACAGGTAATAGGGGAATGGATATGAGCAAAATATAAGCTTTGAAACCTCACAAAATGTGACACTAGGGGGGATGGCAGGGCAAGGTGATGATGAGGGGGTGACCAAAGTATGTTATGTCAAATGAAACTCATTCATCTATATAACCAAAAATGTATGAAAAAATAAAATAAAAGATTAAAAAGGCATTTATAGATTTCTTAAAACTTTATAATAGCTGAGGGGCTATAAAATTATACTCCCAAAATTCAGGTTGTTATAAATCCTTAGGATAACTTGGTTTGTTCATCAGCCATTTCCCAGCCCCATGTGTCTCTTTATTTCCAATGCAACTCTCCTTGCCCTCTTGGTTTCCCTTCTTTTTCAAGCAAATATAAAACAGTTCTGTGTTTAATCTGGAACCAGATGTAAAAATAACATCCTTAATAATAATAGACTTTTATATTTCTTGTTAAGCTTCTTAATCATACATTTTAACTTCTGGGTTTTTATTAAGATTGGACATTTTGTCTTCTTTAAATTAACTGTTGGTGTGTTTATGGAAAATTTTAAATTATTTTATTTCACACATTACCTAACATTCTTAACAATTCTAAGAGCATATTTTTAAAGGTCATAATAACCCAATAGTATAGTAATTAGGGCTTCTCCCAGAGGCTGGCCATTTCATCCAAGAGTGCTGGCAGATCCCAGGGAGCAGCTGTGTGGCTCGGAATGGTGCAGCTGCAGGTGAATCCCAGCCAGGGGTCTGCCCCGACCCCAGAGGCTCAAGAACACCTATCTAAGCCAAAGACCTGCTGATAAAAGAGCTGCACAGGCACACAAGCTTCAGCTAGAGAACTGCCATTCCATCTGCCACAGCCAAGGAGCCACCTGGAAAAGAGCTTCCTAGGCACACAAACAGTATCCAGAGGTTCACCCCGATACCATTGATAAGTACATGGAAGCCCTAGCCAAAGCCTTATAAGGCAACAGTAACTGGGGTGCACAGCCCC